GGAAGGGCTGGGATGGCACTGGGAGGGCACTGGGAAGGGCTGGGATGGCACTGGGAGGGCACTGGGAAGGGCTGGGATGGCACTGGGAGGGCACTGGGAAGGGCTGGGATGGCACTGGGAGATGGTGGGAAGGGCTGGGATGGCACTGGAAGGGCACTGGGAAGGGCTGGGAGGGCACTGGGAAGGGCTGGGATGGCACTGGAAGGGCACTGGGAAGGACTGGGAGGGCACTGGGAGGGACCTGGGAGATGGTGGGATGGCACTGGGAGGGCACTGAAAAGGGCTGGGATGGCACTGGAAGGGCACTGGGAAGGGCTGGGATGGCACTGGAAGGGCACTGGGAGATGGTGGGAAGGGCTGGGATGGCACTGGGAGGGACCTGGGAGATGGTGGGAAGGCACTGGGAGAGCACTGAAAAGGACTGGGAGGGCACTGGGAAGGACTGGGATGGCACTGGGAGGGCACTGGGAGATGGTGGGAAGGCACTGGGAAGGCACTGGGAGGGCACCGGAAGGTCACTGCGTGTGAGGCTTTTTGGGAGTTTTTTCCCCCAAAACCCCACTCCAACGCCCCGGGAATGGCCAGGGAGGGTCCGGGAGCTCCGGGACCGCTCCGGGCTCGCTCCCTCCGGGCCTGATTTCCCGGGAATGCTCCGGGCTCGCTCCCTCCGGGCCTGATTTCCCGGGAATTGCCCCCGGCAGCCCCTGGACGCGCTGCACGAGAAGGGCCTGGCCGAGGACCCGCGTTACGGGACCATGAAGGGGATGGGGCTGCGCCCGGGGGGCCACGCGGGGATGGGACCCCCCCCCAGCCCCATGGACCAGCATTCCCAAGGTCGGGAGCGCCGGGAGAGCCCCTGGGAGGGAGGGGGGGGGGGAAGAATCCTGGGGATTCATTGTTCTGGGCTGAAATCCCGGGGTTTTGGGGCGGGAGTTAATTGTTCCAGGGGGTCTCCGGGATCGAATCCTGGGGGTTGGGGAGGGTTGGATCCCCCCAGGGGATTCCAAGATTAAATCCTGGATTTGGAGGGATGATTGGATCGCTCCAGGATTAAATCCTGGATTTGGAGGAATGATTGGATCACTCCAGGACTAAATCCTGGATTTGCAGGAGTGATTGGATCATTCCAGATTTGGAGGAGTGATTGGATCGCTCCAGGATTAAATCCTGGATTTGAAGGAATGATTGGATCATTCCAGATTTGGAGGAATCATTGGATCGCTCCAGGGTTAAATTCTGGATTTGGAGGAATGATTGGATCACTCCAGGATTAAATCTGGGATTTAGGGGGATAATTTAGTCCCTCCAGGATTAAACCCTGGACCTGGGGGGGGCTGATTCCATCATTCCAGGTTTAACCCCTGGATCTGGGGGGGCTGATTCCACCATTCCAGGGTTAACCCCTGGATCTGGGGGGGCTGATTCCACCATTCCAGGGTTAACCCCTGGATCTGGGGGGGCTGATTCCATCATTCCAGGGTTAACCCCTGGATCTGGGGGGG